TGTAGATAGATGTGGAAATGAAGAGAGGAATGTTCAGGAATGGCACCAATCCTGTTAAGCCTTCCCTTAGATCTAATGAACTCCACCGTTATCTTGTGGTTTTCTTTCAAAAACTATTCAATTTCAAAATAATCAGCACCATAAACATGTACACTCTTATTTTGAATAAATGGTACTGAAATTTTAATTTTATTGATTTGTTTCCATTCATATAGGATATTTACTTCAGAAAAGTAATAGGTTAAAAAAAATCTTTGATGGACTTGCTGCTTTGGGAAAATTCCACAAAATATTTATATAAAAGTTTTTAAGCATCAATAAAAACTAGGTAATAAGACAAGGGCAAGCAGATTTTGAGTTGCTCTGTGATGGCACTTGTAGGCAATGACAAAGGGTCTGAATTGTTGAGTACTGAATGGATACAGAAATACTGTACAAATAAACTAGGTGCAATAAGTATTAGGTTTCTAAGCAGAATACACTACCTCATGTTGTTCAGTGCTGATTGGATGGGGCAAATAGGAACATCAATTGTTTTATAGGCCTATCTGCTCATCTTGTCCTGAACCTCTGGCACAGAACTGCACCTCTGTGGCCAGCAAGTTCACAAATTAGCTTAGCCATTGCAAGTTAATGTTTAAGTGTAAAATTCTGGCCAGCCATTTCTCAGAAAGCCCCTCTGAGGGCTATCATAAAATCACCTGCACTAAAATGACCCAGAGAACCATTTTCTTTGCTTAAAACACCCATGTTTTAAATGCATGAATGTACCCTTCAACAGAGATCACTCAGTTCTAGCAAACTGCCATATAGACAAGCAGATATTCCCAGAACAGCCATTCCAGCTTCCCCTTACCTGAACATCTAGATCTACACAACTCCTAAACATAAGAGTCTCATTTTGACCTGTGTAGCTAAGACACATAATTCTATAAATATACCTGCCCTCATGTCCACACCTGAAAATCATAGCAACAAACTAGAACAAAGAACAAAAGTACCTCTTCCCACCTCAACTGAGTTCTGCCCTTTTGGGCTTTCAAGGCCTTCATTTTAAGAAGAGGAAACAAGGTGCCCTCCACACAGTCCCCACCCCGCTTCATATGATGGCACAACCGTACATTAAAAGCCTTCCTTAGAAAACAAAGGCATTTAATAGATTTTTCTGCTTTTATAATTTAAATAACTTAAAGACTGAAAAGAAAAACCCGACAAGGGCAAGACAAAGTTGGACTGCAGTCTCAAAGTGAAGGTGGCAGAGGAAAAGAGGAGATTGAATATGTACTATGGAACCCCAAATGCCCACAACCTGCCTGTTTCGGACCCTCAAACCTCACCCCCCCATCCCCTAAAGCCGCCGAAGGGCTCGCTTCTTGTCAGTCTTCTTCTTGGAAGCCAATTTCTTGTCTCTGTCACCTGCGTGTTTCTTGGCCATGGGACCCTCCCCGGAGGCACCTGCTGAAGAGGAGCAAGGCTCAGCAGGGTTCTTTGTATGCAAGCCGGAGGAGGGTTGGGCATGAATCTCGGTTAGAAGCTGAGCTCGGGAAGCGTACTCCTCATAGTTCTCCAGCAGGAGGCGCCCTGCTTCCTCATTTAGGGCGGATTCCGGGTTGGGATGGATCAGCAAACACTTGATGGTCTGGAGCAGGAGCAAAATAAGGAAATCAGAGTTACAAGAGGGGGGAATGTCTATGGAGATCAGTCATCCAGGTCATGGCTGCCCCAAAATGTGTTTTTTTCAAAAGGCAACTGGACTTTCTTGTTTTCATTTGAAGACGTTTCACTACTCATCCAAGAAGTTCTTCAGTTCTGACTAACTGTGGTGTTCATATAATGACCAGATTCGCTTAATGGCTGCCACAATAAAGCGGTCAGTCAGAACTGAAGAAGCTTCTTGGATGAGAAGCGCAATGTTTTCAAGGGAAAACGAAGTCCAGTTGCCTTTTGAAAAAGCACCTTTGGGAAGAGGGAGGAATCCTCAGACAAGACCCAAACATTCAGGGCCAGCAGAAGATAGATACCGGCAAGTCTCCTATTCCCTCTAAGGACTAGCCTGACTTCCACCCTTGATGAGCTTATTTCCTTCTGACTCTCCACCAAAGAGGTTTCCTTCAGACTCCTGAAGGAATGGAGAAGAGACATAGGGTTTGGTCACTGGCCAAACAGTACAAAACTCTGAGAAAGCAAAATACAGCTTTTTATACCATAGTTGAGTCCAAAAATTGTCTTGCTAAGCGAGACAGTTGTTAAGTGAATTTTGCCCCATTTTATTTGACCTTTCTTGCCACAGTTAAGTGAATCACTATAGCTGTTAAGTTAGTAACATGGTTGTTAAGTGAATCTGGCTTCCCCATTGACCTTGTCAGAAGGTTGCAAAAAGTGATCACCTGACCCCGGGAGTCAGTTGCCAAGCATTCAAATTTTGATCATGTATCTACAGTGGTCATTAAGTGTGAAAAACAGTCATAAGTCACTTTTTTCAGTGCTGCTGTAGTTTTGAGTGGTCACTAAATGAACTGTTGCAAGCTGAGAACTACCTGTACAGGGCAGGAGACATGCAATTTTCTCTTTCTGCAAATCATTGTGACTGCAATAAAGCTACAGTTCCCAATGTACTTCTAAATGAATACACAAGGAATGCTTACGGCAACATTTTGAGGCATACTGGTTGGGGGCATGGAAGTACGTGCACTTTTGTAGGCAGACAAGGCCACCTGGATGGCTATGAATGATTGATCTGCAGCAAAGGCTAGAAAGCCGTATAGCACCCCAAGGAGTCTGATCTGAAAATCAATGCATCAAAAACCAAGACAGTTATGTTTGATAAGAAAAATGAGGCAAATTATTGCAGGTTATTCTTAAATGGTTAAAAAAAAAACCATGAGCAAGCAGGTGAATTTGCCTAGTTTGGTACAGTGTTTACTGAAGATGAGGAAATGGTTGGAGAAATGTGACGGTTTGTGAACACTGGTAGTAAAATAGTGGATAGTATCTGTCCAGTTGCCAGGAAGGAAGATTTGGTGAAAGAACTGAAAATGATAGCCTCGAGAGCGTTTCTGCTTTTTTTATTGTATGGAAGTGCACAAACATAAAAGTTGGATGCAATGGGAGTGTGTGTGTGTGTGTGTGATTGATCAAGAGATAGTGTCAAGAATGGATGAGGACTGAATACAAAAGTGAGTGATCTGTAAGAATGAGGTACACTGTCCGACTTCCGGTTTGTCGGCTTCGCGAGCGGCAGGGATTTGCGACTCCGAGCGATCCCTGCCGCGCTAGCCGCTTTTGGTGCTCCGATCCGGACGGGTCCGGAGCTAGGCTACCCTGCAGGGGTAGCTGAAGATAGGGGGGATCCGGAGAGGGGTTTGGGGGTGTTGCAGACCCCCTCCCCGGCCGGCAGAACCCCCTTTTCCCAAGACGGTGCAGCGGCGGTCCGCAATGGCCGCCACAAAGAAGCCGGCAGCTGGGCAAGTATGCGCAGGAGGAAGAGGAGAAAGCTTTTGAGAGTGAAAGTTTTCTTGGTTGATCCAGGACTCTAAGATACATTTAATTTAATTCCTGGAAATGATGGTTTTTTGGATGATTCTTTCCACAAGAGAAAATAAGCGGCAATTCTGAGGTGCTGAAAGGAAAGTTTATTCTCCCTCCCGACGGAATTAATAAATGGATATTGAGAAACCTGTTTTTTTTCAGGTAAAACTAGCTTTATGGGATAAGTCGGAAGGGAGAGGACAAAAAATATATTCATCTGGTTTGATTTTGTTGGAGGAGATGCCTTAAGGATTTGAAGACAGAAATATAACTCCAATAAGGCTTCAAAATACAGATTTGGACTTTCTTTTTTCTTTTGTCTGATACTACCCCTGGAAGGGAAAGGGAGAATTTTGTCTTGGCTTGGATTGATTGAGGATTGTGGATTTTGGGATTGTTTTACTTCTTTTTGAAATATCTTGGTTGGTGTAAGAAGAAAGAGGGAAAAAAGAAAAGAAAAGATCCATAATGGCTTTTTCTTTTGAGGAACTGAGGGAAGAATATGAGCAAACAAAAACAGCCTGTAAAGATGGTATGGAAAAAGCCTTCCTATTTTTAGAAATGGCGCTGGTTAACTATCAACAAACAATACAACAGATGGAAGCAGAAGAACAACAAGAAGAAGACGAAGACGCCATCTTTAATGAATCCCAAAATTTAACTAAGAAAGAAGGAAGGAAGAAAGCGAGGAAAATGAAGGACTTAAGATCTAAAAAAACATTTAAGAAAGAGAAAAATATGATGCAAATTAAATATAATGATAGTAAACAAAAGAAAAAGGGAATACAACAGAGAAGGGATGCCAGCAAGGCAGAGGCTAGAAGAAGGGGGGGTAGGAAGATTTGGTGGGGGAAGAAAGAAAGGGGAAAGGCGGAGAAAAGCCACAAAGTTTTGAAATTAGATGGGAAAAGAGGAATTTTTTTTAGGGACAAAGGGTAAAGTACAATTTCTTTAAAAAAGATTTTGCAAGGTACATAAGATGGTATTGTAACATCTGTATTAGAAATAGAAAATTAGAATGGCTTAAGAATTAATAAGAAATTAAAATGTTGAAATGTTTAATGATGATTGATTTTAAAATGTAATAAAATATTAAAGGGAAAGGCAATGGGAATGTTATAAGATTTAATATTTAGATTTATTACTCAACTATGTATTTAGGAGGGCACTATGTATTTAAACATTTTTGATTTATTACGCTGTTTTTATTGTTATTAAAAGAAAAAATTAGTAGATAGAATGTACCAAGCAGAATCAGATTGGGTATTAGGTGTTATTATAAATGTTAATCTAATTAATTTAGGGGGAGGATAGAAAGGCATCATACTCTGATTAGTGATTTCAGGAGAAATTCTTTTTTTTTTCATTATAAGGAATGAGATAGAGGGATAATAAAGAATGGGCAAAAGATACAAACATAATGATTTAAATTAAGATGGATTAAATAAGATAGAATTATGAAGAGTGAAATGTGTGGAGAAGTTTATATAGAAGATATAGAATGGTAAACAAAATAGGTAATGATATGTAAGATGAGCATGAATATAATTAAATCCCATATAAAGAGAGGTACCTGGGGCCAAGTTACTTTCCTAAAAGATTTTTTATATGTTTGTTTGTTGTGTGTCTATGTTTTTGAGAGTATTAATAAAACCTTTTAGAAATATAGAATGAGAATAATGGTAATCAAGTCAGAAAGAAATAGATGAAATAATAATAGTGAAATTGAATAAGAGTAAAGAGAAGTAAAGAGAAATTGGATAAGAAGCATTTTTATGCTCATATGGAAATGGCTTAAAATAGAATTGTATTGTATAAGATAAGGTTTTATCTGACTTGTAAAATTTATAATGGAAAAAGGTTCAAATATGTAATGGTTGATGATGATTTGTTTGTTTTTGAAATTAATAAAATTTGCTTAAAAAAAAAAAGAATGAGGTACACTGAACTGGTTTAGTGATACAGAAGGAATGAAGATGAAATCACAAAACAAGTACAGTGGTACTTTGGTACAAGTAGTCCTTGACTTACAACAGTTCATTTAGTGACCGTTCAAAGCAGGGGTGGACTGACTGGTTTCAAACTCTTGCCTTATTCAAGTGTGAGAAGCATGATGACTTCTACAACACTGTTTCCAACCCTGAAATTCGAATCCAAGCCTTCGGTGGTCATACATTCCCTTTTTGCAGACAGTGGTACCATCTCACGGCCCCAAGCCATGTTTCAGTTTCAGCTCCGGGATTTTAGAATATTTAATGTGCATATGTGTGACTTTCTTCAAAATAGGTCATGCAAAGATTTGGAATGAGCTATTGAGGAAAAAAAATTCCCAAACTATACACCTAGTCCTTGAGTTGCACTAGTTCATTTAGTGACCCCCCTCAAACTTACAAGAGCATTGAAAAAATGACTTATGGCCGTTTTTCACACTTACAACCGTTGCAATATTTCCCATGGTCACGTGATCAAAATTCAGATGCTTGGCAACTGACTCATGTTTATGATAGTTGCAGTATCTGGGATCATGTGATCCCTTTTGCAACCTTCTGACAAGCAAAGTCAGTGAGGAAGCCAGATTCACTTAACATGTTACTAACATGTTACTTAATGTTACTACACACTGCAGTGATTCACTTAACAACTGTGGCAAGAATTGGCATAAAATGGGGCAGAATTCACTTAACTATCTCGCCTAGTAACAGAAATTTGGGGCTCAATTGTGGTTGTAAGTCAAGAACTACCTATGTTTATTTTTTTCAAAAATATGTATAGCAAAACGGCCTCTTTAGTTAGGGAGTTTTGGGAGGCAGAAATTATATTCTGTTTTGCTCACTTAGTTTCCAGATGAAAAAAGCAGAGAATGGCTGTTCAGTATTTACACACAGCTATGTGGAAGAAATAAAAAAGAAGGACGGGGTTGCATGTGGAAAGCATTTTAGTTAAGAGACTTTGTATTATTGGATTAATTTATAAGATGTGTTCTGGTTAATCTCTATGCTGGTCTGGTGCAGTTTTGCCTTTAGGAATGAAGAAGAGTATAAGTGGTCTTAAAACATTTCAAAATGGTGCTTCTGAGCTTTCTTAATTTGTAGATATGTTTGCATTTAATTAAACACTTAAAAAGCTACACAAATAATGTTTTATAAAATATAAGTGAAGGGGGGGGGGGGAATTAACTATGGAAAGCTTATAATTGTTCCCATAGAAGTATGATATTTAATTGAAAAGTAATGTTAAAGATGTTAAGACTTTAATGAATATTATTGATAGAATTGAATTGGAATGGAATGTTGTTTTAATTATATACATTTATAATTTTTTCTTTTTTTAAGAATACAGTGTGTATTTTAAGAATGTACCAAGCAGAATCCGAATGGAAGTTATGTTATTGAATGTTACAACTTTAGGGAAAAGATATAAAGGCGTCATACTCCAATCAGTAACTACAGGAGAAATTTGGTTTAATGAGAAAAGATAATAGATAATTGAAACAGGACAAAAAATATAAATACAATGATTTGAATTGAGATGAGATAATTAAAATAAAATTGAGAAAATTAAAAGAGGGGAGAAGCTATGCAGAAAATGTAAAATAGTAATAAGATATGGAATAGAATATAAAAATGAGCATGAACCTGAATTTGTGTCTGTACGAAGAAATGTAACCCAGGATTATGCTACTTTCAAAAAAGATGTTTTATTTGTATTTTTTTTTCTCTTTGTGAAAACTCAAATAAAATTTACAAAAAACAAAAACAAAAAGAAATAATCAACTATAAATTTGTAAGTCATTTGTAAACTGCCAGGTGTCCCTGGAGATTCAGTGGTATACAAATGTAATAAATAAAGGAAAATAAATAGTTATTGGTGAACTCCATTAAGAATAGCCAACACAGCTCGCAAAGCTTAATTCCTCATTTTTCCTGCTGCCAGTGTGCAGCACGAGAGGGGATTAAAAAAGCCGTGTTTTGTCCTTGTCCAACTTTTATCCTGCTTCTTCCAGCACACCTTTCCAAGTCCTGAGTTTTTGATTCTAAAATCCCGGAGCTGAAATTGAAACATGGCTTGGGACCATGAGATGGTGCCACTGTCTGCAAAAACCTTTGTCAACATTTGCTAGGCATTTCCACCCACTTTTGGGGATGGAAAAAGTGCATCTTATACTCTGAAAAATACGGTAAATCTTTTCAATCACTGTCAATTGGTCCTCTGTACGTGTTTGGAGGAATTTTAGGCCATTCCTCCTTACAGAACACTTCAGATTTGTTTGTGGGCCTCTTCAGATGAACTCCATGCTTCAGATCCTTCCACATTTCTATAGGATTATTTATGTTTTTTAATCATTGATCGCTAACTTGTGCCAGTCACATCTACCTGACCCACCAGAGTGGGGAGGCAAGGAATGTTGCGGGTCCCATCCCCTAGGGAGATACACCTGGTGGGACCCAGAAGAAAGGCCTTCTCCAGGTTGGCTCCCTCTCTCTGGAACATCATTCCCCCAGAGATTAGAATGGCTCCCACTCTTAACACTCTTCTGGAAGGCACTGAAGACCTGGTTCTGCCAGCAGGCATGGGGAACCCAGAGTGGGATGAAGCCCATTAAATGGCTTGTGTGATGTATTGTCGCCGCGGTGAGGGGCTATTATATTATTTTATTTTTATTAGTTTTTTTTATATATGTTTTTATTTGTATCCCTGTAGGACACCTTGAGCCGCCAAGTGCGAATAGCCGGCAACATAATTTTTCTAATAAAGAAATTTGCTTTGTTTCCATTGATTTTAATTGTTACCCACCCAGAATCATGTATGAGATAGCTAGCCATACAAATTGTTTAAATAAACAAACAAATAAGGCCAAGGCTTTCCAAACTATTAACTTTATACATCTTTATACATCTCTGACTATATGAGTCTACATGCTTTTGGGTCACTGTCTTGCTGCACGATCCACTTTGTTCTGAGTAGACAGATACACAGACAGATACTCTGAAATTTTTCTGTAAAAAATTGCTGGTACACTGAGAGGCAGTTTGGGGATATTATGATAGTAAGTTGAGGACTACATGTATACATAGTCCTATGTGTTTCTGCACATGCCTAAGAAGAATAAAATAATCTCTTTGGAGTCCGCTATCTGCCATCCTGGGATCTACCCAGTTAAAAACACTACCTACCAGCAGGACATGTCGGATGCCAAGTTCTGCTTTCCAGTCTTTCTTGAGGACGTTGACACAGATCTCCCCATTGGCACCCACATTGGGGTGGAAGATTTTGGTCAGAAAGTAGCCTTTTGGTGGACTGGCAGGGAAGTCTTTGCCGAGAATCAGCTTCATGCGGAAGAGGCCACCAGAGTAAGGAGTACCTTCTACAAAGGGAAGAAAAGAAAAAGAGAGGTCTTGACTTACGAGCAGTTCCGATGAACCTACCTAGGGGGTACTTATGACCCAGCTTTGAAGTTCCAATGGCTGCTCCCCCTGGTCACGACTACACTTTGGGAGTTCGGCAACCAGACCATCTCCTGGGATCACATTAACATCTTTTACAGCAGTTTTGCCAAAAACCAGCACTTATTTCCAATTTTCAGCAAAAGCAATGGTTCACTTAATGACTGTGGTGTTCACGTAGTTACCACAGATTCATTTAATGGCTGCCAGAAAAAAGGAAGTAAAATCACGTTTGCTGTGACTGACTCTTTACAACCAACATAAGTTACAACCACGCCGGCCAGGCTCCATTACAGTCATAAATGAAGGATTATCTGTATGATGAATATCTTCTTGAGTAAGGCTCACATTTCCAACATCCAACTTTTTCCTTCCTATTGACCAATAATTCAAGATGGGCTGCCTTCTCCGGTATGATTCTCTGAATAGAGCAGCATAATCACTATAGTTCAATCTTGAGATGCAACCCTTAAAAAAAGTCCCCAAAGATGAACCCTCTTTCAAGTAACCCTCTCTTACCAGGTCCTTCAATGGTGACCTGCACATCTGTAATGTCCTCCTCATTGGGAAACACCTTGATGCCCTCAGGTGGATCTGATGTTAGAGCGGAGACTTCCTTGTAGACCAGCCGGATCACATGTGGAGGCAGGTTTTCAACATTGGAATTCTGAAGTATTGAGAGAAATGGGAAAATAAAAGAATGTGACTCTCACCTAAAAATAATATCTTACTCGATGCAGCAAGGATCAAAATGCTCCAAACAGCACTCACCAAAACACACCCAAAAGGAAGACAACTTTCCATGACACTGTAACATCTTTACTCTGGACTTAATAGGTTTTGGCCTGCAATGTCTTCTTCAAAGAATACTTATGAAAGCAAAGCTTGTACAGATTTTTTAAAAAATCTACATTTTAATCATTCAAATGTATAAGGCTGTTTGATCAAAATCAGGGGTGTCAAACTCAAGGCCCGCGGGCCGGATCCGGTCCATGGGGTGCTTAGATCTGGCCCATGGTGCCTTTGCCAGCAAAAAAGGGGCACAGCTGTGTGTGTGCGCCTCCGAGCTGCTTTCACTGGCAGAGGGCTGCAAGAGGCCATCGCGGCCCTCTCCTCTATCATTTTTTTTACAACTCTCAGTATCAGTGGAAGTGGGGGAAAGGCGTATAGCAGTCCCCAGGGCCATGGGCTGCGGAAGGCATTGACTCCCTCCACTTCCATTGCTGGGAACCTGGAATAGAACCTGGGTAACTGGGCGTTTGATGGGGAAGCAGTCCAGGATTGGACTGCCAAACTTCCTTGACAGCTCTCTGAACAGGTCCGGGTGTAGTCGTCACTCTAAGTGGTCAACTGTGGTTCTGCTGAGCTAGTCCGCCTGCACATTTGTTACCCCTGAAATGTGTTCCCCTCTGATGGAGAGCAGGTGTCTCTCTACCCAGAGTCCTAATTGACTCGCCTCCTGCATGAGTGCTCTGGAGTGGGTTCCTCCTTGCCAGTTGATATGTGCCTTGGTGGCCACATTGTCCATCAGAATAAGTATGTGGTGTCCCGAAATACTTTCCTGGAATCTCTTTAGAGCTAGATGAGCTACTCTGATTTCTAGCCAATTGATATTGTTTCTGAGGTATGGTAGAAGAAACCACTGTAGAGTCCTTGCGTAAAGGCGTGCCCACGGTACAATTGCTATGCAGGACACCATCTCCCCCAGGAGCTGTGACAGTAGAGCCAGTGAGGCCGTCCAGGCTGTCTGAATTTCACCCGCCAGGACCGATACTATCTTGTCACTCTTGTGACAGGTAAAGCTCGCATGACCTGGTATCTATGATTGCACCCAAGTGTAGCAGTTAATTGGTTGGGGACAGATGACTCATCGAAATTAACAGAGAACCCGTGTTCCTGCAAAGTCCGAATAGTTATCTGTTGTGATTCCGGCATCTGCTACAGGTTTTTTGAATGACAGCTCCA